GTAGTGGCAAAACTTTTACATATAATTATTTGATTGCTGAAATGAGCAGTAGGGGTGTTAAATCTGCTACAGCTGCATGGACTGGCATAGCAGCAACTCTTCTTACAAATGGATCTACGCTGCACGGGTTATTTAAACTTCCTGTCCCAATACTGGATAACAGCACATGTAATGTGACTCCTAACTCTATTCAGGGACAATTTTTAAGGCAAGTTAGTTTGTTTATGCTTGACGAGACATCCATGATTCCCAAACACGCTTTAAATGCAATCGATCGGTTGTTAAAAGATGTTTGCAACAACAATTTTCCATTTGGAGGAAAAGTCATTCTTTTTCGTGGTGACTTTTGGCAAATTTTGCCTGTTGTGAAAAGAGCGAGACCAGCTGAAGTTGTAGAATCATGTATAAAATGTTCTTTACAGTGGCAATGGGTGCAGAAGTTTACATTAACTGAAAATATGAGAGTACGTGATGGAGAAGGAGATTTTTCCGAATGGCTGTTAAAACTTGGTAGTGGAACAATACCTGGCAAGGAGGAAGATCCTTTTAAGGGATGTATTGAAATACCGCAACAGTGCATTATTAGAGAAAACGAATCGATGGTTGAAAAAATATTTGGAGATGCTCAACAAGATGATTATGCTAAACGTGTCATTTTAACACCCACCAATGTGGATTCATTGTCAATCAATGAAGAAGTGCTTGAACGTCTACATGGAGAGGTCAAAACTTATTTAAGTGCTGATCAAATAGACACTGACGATCTTAATGAAAGAAATAATTTCCCTGTTGAGTTTTTGAATAGCTTAACTCCTTCAGGTATGCCTACTCATTGTTTAAAATTGAAAATTGGTTGTGTAATTATGCTACTTAGAAATTTAGATCTTAAAGCTGGGCTATGTAATGGAACCCGAATGAAAAATTGTGCTCTCCAAAACAATTATATTGATGCAGAGGTTTTGACAGGGGTTTCTGAAGGTAAACGGGTATTTGTTCCTCGAATTCAGTTGGCTCCATCAGATTCTAATTTACCTTTTGTTTTAAAACGTCGTCAGTTTCCTGTCAGATTAGCTTATTCGATGACAATTAATAAAAGTCAAGGTCAAACATTTGATTGAGTTGGGGTATATCTAAAAAAACCGTGTTTCTCCCATGGTCAACTATACGTTGCATGTTCAAGAACTAGAGCATTTAATAGTTTGTTTTTCAAAATTGATAAACATCCTATTAAGGTATGGTAGGTGAAAAATACTACACAAATAATGCTATATTTTCTAATGTTCTTAATTTATAGTCTTAATATTTTCATTTCTAAAATTTACTGTTTGTAGGTTGTGAGCACATTTTGTATGTGTAACTTTAATATTTTTATTTTTTCATAGTTTTTGATAAATATATTTGTCATTTAATATTGTTATATATTGTGTTTCTATGTGTTATATGAAGTCATGTTTGTTTATAGTTGTATATATGTTTACATTATGTTGTTTCCATGTTTTCAAAGTGGTGTGACTTGGCAAAATGTTAAGCAAGGTTGTTAACCTTGCCAGCCAAGCGGTGTACTCATAGCAGAGGTGTGACTTGGCACCATTTTGTGCCAGGCGGTGTTACTGCTTTAGAGCTAGGTTGTGTTGTCTAGCTTTTTTTAATTATTCTGGAAACACATAATGTCTGGTAATGTTTTGTGTAATGTGTATAAAAGAGTATGCAACCTTGATCCTTAAATTTAAAAATAATTGAATAACTAATATTGAATATAAAAGCAAATATACTAAATTAAAGTTTAGTAAAAGGATAAATGTAGATAACTCAAAATTGGTTTTTTAGTTTTGTCTTTCATATTCTTTTAAAATTGGTTTGTTATTTTCCACTGGATTTTAGAGTCAAGGGTGTAAATATTAGTTATATAGGTGTGAATATGTGTTAATGTTATGTGTTATTGTTATAATGTTGTAATGTATTGTTATAAGGTATAATATTGTTATATTGTTGTGATGTTTTGTGTTGATAGACAGCTTGGCTTACCTCCCCGTTGGTGTCTATCGTTAAAAATGAATAATAGATAGTTTCATTATTGGAACTTGCTGCTTTTATTCATTTACTAAAAGCCAAGACAAAATCTTGCTAAAAATTCAATTTATGTCTTTATTTGATTTTTTTTCCTTTAGTATTGTTAATCCTTCGTTAGTACTTCGTTAGTACTTCAAAAAAGATTTTATAGCTACTTTTTTCTATAAATGTTTATATTAATTGCAATATCAAAAGGTTACAAAAACAGGTAAATCGGTTTTCAGTGTTTATATGTGGTGTATATATATATATATATATATATATATATATATATATATATATATATATATATATATATATATATATATATATATATATATGATTTATAATTCCGTTCCTTTTTTTTATTTTATATTTTACCATATGACGTATTAATACAATATTAAAAAAAAAAACTTGATTTCCTAAATTTGTAAAATTTTGTTCGTTTGTTAAAAAGATATAAAGACATTAATATATATATATTTTTCCGATGTTTTCCCTATCTTATGCTTTAATAATTCGTTGTTAAAAACACAAGGAGACTTGCAGTTTGTCAAATATTAAGTTGATTAGTTTAGTCTGCAATTGCAACACTTTTGAGGAAAGAAAAAATTCTTATATATGTAAATCGTTGTTTTACGCTTTATTATTTTGGTAAAAGGTCTTCATCATAAATAGATTACTCTTAATAAAAAAAAAACTCTACTCACATGGTTACCATTAAAACAAAAAAAGGGGAGGGGCTCTTAATTAGCGGAGATGTCAAAATATTGACGAAACCAAAACTTCGAGTAATAAAAGGAGTATTTAGTAAATGGCAGCAAATTACTTTACCGTTTGCAAAAAATTATTGAAATAAAGAGGCCATCTATTCAATATAAAAATAATCAGAGTTTAGAAGGCTTAACATGACCGGGTCCGTTAGCTTTGTTTGCAAACATGAGATTATGTCACGTTAACAACCTCAAAAGTCAATTTAAAACATGTTTAGTAGCAAAATGTGATATATACAAGTATAAATGTGATAGTATAGTAATACTCTTTTATCATTTTTTAGCTAATAAAATGGATTTAAGACTAGATTGATTTTTGTTTCCTGTTAAACCGCAGTAAATAAAAATTAGAAGGCTATTTGGCCCCGACAGAATATGCGACAAGTTTGTATTAAACTCATTTACACAAAAATGGAATTAAGACAAGTTAGCTCCTAAAATTATCTATATGTACAGATATGTTTATTGCACTTATTAGTAAATAAACTGATTAGTTGCGTAATGAGTTTAAATTTTAGCCATTTTTTAAAGTTGATAATCATAACGTACTTAATTAAACATACGTGATGTAATTTGCATAGCTAAATTAAATGCTCTTTGCGCTTAGTGTTGCGCAGTTTGGTTTGTGCGCAGTTTTTCTTCTGTTCTGGAATTTTGAGATTAGAATTTCCAGACTTATTTTAAAAAGCGCGTTTTCGTTTTAATTTTATTTTACATCTAACCGTACCTATCAAGTAGGTCATATTCAGTATAATCAATTCAATCGTTTTCATTTTTTATCTTTTAACATGTCTATTACCTTTATTAAATTTGTTTTTAAGCATATTTGTTTTTATTTTTTATATCGAGTTAATAGAATGAATCAGATTGAAGATGAAGGTTTGTATTTATTTAGATGTGTATTATGTTACAGATGTTTAATGTTATGTTGTTAGTTCTTAAATATATGTTTATTTTTAGTTGCTGAATTACTAAGAAGTAAGTTTTTTTTCATTTTGTTATTAACAAATGTTATAAATTGCATTTATATGTTTGTTAATTTAAATTAACTTTACAATATTAAAATGGTTTAAACGAACTTAAACGAACTTTTGTAAATGAATTTAATCCCCAAAGATTAAATTTTTTTTATTATTGAAGAAAATAAACTAGATTTAAGAATGAGTCGACTTAAATGTTTGTTTGTTTTTCTATTTAGATGATGACAATATTGAAGCAAGTAAGTTAAAAAGCATTTTTAAATTTTTAAAAGGAAATAAAAATACTTTTCAATATACATCTGTTTTCTTTGAGGTAGATTTAAAGTTTCAGGTTTTTAAAATCATATATATTATAAGGTTTAAGAATGAGTCGACTTAAATGTTTGTTTGTTTTTCTATTTAGACGTTGTTGATAATATTGGAACAAGTAAGTTATAAAGCATTTTTAAATTTTTAAAAAGAAATAAAAATACTTTTTAATATGTTTCTGTTTTCTTCGAGGTAGATTCAAAATTTCAGTTTTTTAAAATCATATATATTATAATATTAAATTTTTTTTTACTTTAAAAATATCCATTTTATAGTTACACTGAGTCGTAGAAAAAAAATTAAAGTTTATTAATAAGGTAGTAGATTATTAGAGTAGATTAAATTGTTTGATCTGTTAATCAACTTAATAACGTACTATTAAAGTAAAGATTTATTTTGGTTGTTTGTTAAAATTTAGTTATAGTTTATTTAAAATTTAAATTCTTTAGTTAATCAAGAGAGATCTAATAAAGGTATTAATTACATTAGTTGAATGTAGCATTTAATATGCATTTTATCGATATTTTAACGTCTAAACATTAAAGTGCTTTTATTGTTTAGATACAGAAGTGAAGAAGGAAATAAGTTAGTGTTTTTGCTATTAGATATTTGTTATTAGGAATTTGTTTATTTGTACTGCCACTGGAATTTTAAAAAATCAAGTTCTTTAGCTTTTTTTTTTATACTTTCTTTTAGGGGAGTTGGAACAAAAACTAAGTATAAATTATGATTAGTTTAGTTTAATAAATAAAGCATTAATATTTAGAAGATTTAAAGTTTACTTTAGTTTATAGTTTCGGTTTAGTTTATAGTTTTGTTTTTAGCTTTAGTTATTTTTTTCTTACTTTAGACAACTTTATGGATGAAATGAGGGGGATGGGTAAAACAATTATTTAGATATGTATATATTTATATGTTAACATTATTTTATCGATTATTATATATTTATTTAAGTATATATTTGTCTTTAGTGTCAGGTGGAAGTATAGCTGGTAGGACTGTGTTTTATATTTTATATATTTGGTATGGAGAAATATATGCAATAGGTGAAAAAATTAATTAATAAATATGACACTTTTGAACTGGTTGCATTATTGCTCTATATATTTATTAAAATACAAAATATTGCATGTTTAACCCTTATTAATTTGCTGTTTTTTTTTGTTTTTTTTTAGCATCTTCTGTTTCGAATGAAAATGGTGAGGTTATGCTAATTTTTTTTTTTATAATTGCAAATGTATAATTTTTATTATACTCTTCTATTTGTAACTTTAGATTCCTTATCATTCGAACAATACCAAAGTTATCGCTCCCAACACCCGGGACCTCTCTCAGAGAGGTCCTTCAATAAATGGAAACGTAATGGCGGTATGGATGAGCCCTCCTTTAAATGGAGGGCTCATCCATACCGGGGTGTTGGGAGACACCGAAGAAAAAACAGCAACCAAAAGGTTGTAAATGTCTTCTATCAGTAGAGATATTTATGACTTTTTAGTTGCTGCTTTTTCTTCGGTTTTTTTTTTTTTTTAATTTTGTAATTTTTTGTTTCGGTGTTTGTTTTTTTATTAAAAATTTGTAATTTTTTTTTTTTAATATATTACGTTGTATATTTGATTTGTTTTAATCTTTTTTAATAAAATTTTTAATTGTCTTCTTACCAATTAAACCTGACTTCAAATTTGAAGCCCTCTTAAATACCCCTCCCTAAATTCTAAAGTCGAAAGTTGAATTGATTCATTATCCAATTATCATAATATAATGATGCTGCATTCTTTTGTTAAAAACAATTATTGGGTACTGTTTTTAAAATTTACCAAAACCCAAGGCAATATATTAGGTTGACCGGAAAGTAATGTCGTTTTTGCGCATGTTGACATTCGATAATCGTTGGCCAGTTTATTGTGTATCTCGAACACGTGCACAGGTTATTTTTATATTAGTATGACTTGTTTACTTCTAAATTATTTAAAATTAAATAGTTTTCTTTGCAAATTGGAGTGAAATGGCATATACGAAATACAGGAAGTGCATATTCGTCATTGTATGCTTTTTGAATTTCGCAAGGGTAATAACGCTACAGTTGCGACTAAGAACATTAGTGATGTTTACCCAGGTTCATTAGATGTTCGCAAATGCCAAAGATGGTTTTCCAAGTTTAGATCTGAGAAATTTTGATCTTTCTGACGCCCATCGACCAGGAAGACCAATGTCATTAGACAACGACGTTCTAAGGGCAGAAGTTGAAGCAAATCCATGCCAAACCATCGAAGAATTGTCGAACACCCTTAACCAACCTTGGTTGACCATCCAAGAACATTTACACCAGATAGGAAAAATCAGCAGAGCAGGTATTTGGGTCCCCCATAACTTGTCAGTGCAAAACAAAGCCAACAGATCAACCACGTGCAATGCATTGATTCAACGGCACCATGCAGAACCGTTTCTTGATCGTTTGGTCACTGGAGATGAAAAATGGGTCCTATACGATAATCCAAAACGCAAAAGGCAGTGGCTCTCCCCAAATGAACCAGCACGCAGTACTGCAAAGCCGGGATTATACCCCAAGAAGGCGCTCTTGTGTGTTTGGTGGAGCATCCGCGGAATCGTCCACTTTGAAGTGCTTATTCCTGGACAAACTGTTAATGCGGACCTTTATTGTCAACAATTGGATCGAGTGAACCAAGCTCTAGTTGAGAATTACCCGGCTATCGTCAACAGAAAAGGTGTCATTCTTCAACATGACAATGCAAGGCCGCACTGTGCACGACGGACGCTTGAAAAAATTAATGAATTGGGATGGGAGGTGCTGCCCCACCCTCCATATTCACCTGATATCGCCCCTTCAGATTTTCATTTGTTCCGATCCTTACAGCACTTTCTAAGTGACAAAAAGTTTCAAACTTTGTACTGCTTAAAAAATGGCATCTCCAGATATTTTGATGACAAACCAATACATTTTTTTCGATCTGGTATAGAAAGTTTGCCCGCTCGATGGCAAAAGGTTGTGGAAAATGAGGGTGGTTATATCATTGATTAAAAATAAATATTATAAAAAAATTATTTGTTTTAATTTGACGTAAAAATACGACATTACTTTCCGGTCAACCTAATATTTAGCTATATAAATACAATTTATTTATCTCGATTCTATTCTTTATCTTTTATGTTTAAAGTTTGGCTCCTTAAAGCATTTTATGTTTTGCTCTTTTTATTATGAATATTTTAAATCCGTTGTGATGTCTTTTAAATTAAACTAAAGTTTACTAAAAAGCCAACATAAAAATTACATTTTTGAACAACACTAAAAAGAACAGCTGCATCCCTACAGCAACTGCTGCAGTATCACAATAGGTTACCAAAAGCAGGTATACTGTTTTCCAGTTGTTGTTTTTTTTTTCATATATAATATGAAATATTCATAATACTATAATACGATTGTTTATATCTCATTCATTTTTTCCTAACAACGCCCATAGCAACCGTTTTTCAAAGATAGTTTTATAAATAGCACCTCAGGAATCAATGAATATAAAAAAAAATTAAACTGTTAGGCCCTACATAGGTTTTTGATAATTTTTAGCTATATTTTAAAAGCCTATCACACTGTTGCAATTACTGTAAAGTGATCAAGGCTATCTTAATAACAGTCATTGCAATCGCGCAATTAAATGGAGAGACTGGAGGCTGAATTTTTAGCGGGAGTTTGAAAGCGATTAATAATTTTCATCTCGAATGTTACTATGCCTCGAAAGTGTTGTGTTACTTCATGCTCGTCTAACTATGACAAAAATAATGAAAAATACGTATCTGTTTATCGTTTACCTAAAGACAAAGATAATCGTTTGCGTTGGATAGCTGCAATTCCAAGAGATAATATCCTTGATTCAAAATATACTGTGGTATGCACTAAACATTGGCCTGAAAACGTCGATTTGATAATGAGTAATGGTAAGAAACGACCAAATGTACCTCCAACAAAATTTCATAACGTTAATTTGAGTCAAATTTCAACAGCACCAGCAAAAGGACGTAAAACAACTCGAACAAGTTTTTCAGAGAGAAATATTCAAGAGGATGAAATGAGCAGTTTTAATGATGCTGATAACTTAGAATTCAGTGACATTATGATATAGGTTGAAGCTGAACAACTACCCTTTCTAAGTTATAAGTGTAATGATGACATTGTCTTCCAATCAAAAGATTTTAATAAAGGAACTGGAGTGCCACAGTAAGAAAAATTCTAATTATCTAACCTTTTAATTTTTATACTAATATATTGAATGCTATATGATAATACATTTTAGTTTTTATGATAATATAATCTACTATATGACATGAAAAACATTGTTTTTTATGTCACTAAGTAAAACATTATAAAAAGTCTTTATTTTATGAAAATATATATCAAAAGAATAATAACAGTATTAATACAATAATAGCAATCCTTGTCATTACAATATTACTATTATTATATTTTCATGAATTAAAGAGTTTTTATTTCATTCTTCTTTATGTTGTAACAATGTGACTAATTTTATATTCATAATACTCTTTTAGATTTCTTCTTCAAATTAAAAGTGATTCAACATGTACAGCATTTTATATGGCTTCACAGTGTTTTATTTCACCACTTTCACAGAACCGAATAAAAGTAATTAACAAATTTTCTATTTTATCTGAAGCAGTTCGTTTTTTTAACAATATTGAAATGACCAAAAAAAAAAAGAAATGTTACAAAAAGAATTATTTGCGCTGAAAACTATCACAGTTAATGAACCTTTGTACTCATCAGATATTATTGTTCGAGTCTTTGAGTAGATGGAAACGCTTGTATAATGCTCTCTCGAGCATTATACAAGCGTTTAAGAAATGACTTTAAGCTACCTAGTGTACAATTTTTAATAAAATTAACCTCAAGAGCAAATAAACTTGATACTGCATCTCTAATTTCCAAAATATTTCACAGTTTAGAATACAGACAGCGCTCATGCATTATCATCGTTGGTGAAGTATACGTTAAAGCAACTGTCCCATTTCACGGTGGAAAAGTCTATGATCATGCTTAGGATAACCCAGAAAAGCTTGCCAGAACACTCCTTGCTGTAATGGTTAAATGCTTATTTTCAGGACCTACATTCATTGTTAGTATGGTACCAGTGTCTAATTTAGATTACCATTTCCAATACAGTGTTGTTGCTAATGTAATTGAATCTATTAAACAATCTAGTGGAAAAGTTATTTTTGTAATTTGCGATAACAATCAAGTAAATAGACATTTTTTTACTCTTTTTGATACCATTCCCAATAAGCCTTGGAGAACTTTAACAAATATATTTTTGTTATATGATTATGTCCATTTATAGAAGAATATACGTAACAATTGGCTAACTGATTAAACTAAAGTTATTAAATTTCGATTTGGTGAAGGTGAGGAGTTAGTTGCTGATTGAAAAGATCTAGAGAAACTGAGGTTGTTAGAATTAAACTCTCTTATTACATAATCTTGTTTAAATGAGGTAGCCATATCTCCAAGCCTGTAGAAGACAAAATGTGAAACTAGTAATGCGCGTTTTTTGTGAAGAAACCTTAACAGCTTTGAAAACAAACCCAGTTATAAACCAACAGCAAGTTAAAGGTACTGTTGCTTTCCTGCAAATTTTTATTGATGCATGGAAAATTATAAATGTACGAAGAATTTCTGACAATGTAAGATTGCAAGATCCTTTGCGTGCTGTCATTCGAAGGGCTATGGACAATCGGCTACAACATTTATCAAAAACAGCAGAAATGTGCAAAAATATTGGTGCAAAAAAGGGTAAAAATAGAATAAAAACTTTAACTTTGGCAACAGTAGATGCAATATCTCACACATTAGGTGGCTTAATAGACTTAATTAGCTTTTTACTTGAAAATAGTCAAAATCATCAATTTATTATGCTTGGTGATTTTTCAACAGATCCTCTAGAGAAAGCCTTTAGTAAATTAAGACAGGGTGCTGGTAGTGCCTATTTTATTTCTGCTCAGCAACGTGTTGAGAAAATTCATATTCACCATGCTTTATTACTACTAAGATTTAACACAGACTTTTATGACTGCTCAGAGCATCATTCTTGTGATTGATGTCTTTGACAGCTAACTGAAGAAGAGAGTGAGATTTTTGACATACTGAATGATTTAGAAGAGTCTACGAAAGAAGACAGCAAAATGATGTGTGTATATTGCTGGATACATTGTTCACAAAATCATAATAGATAATGTTGAAAATTTTTATTTATTATAAAATGTATGGCAGTTACTTAAAGGAACTAAATATGGGAGATTTAAAACTTCCTGGTGATACTATGTGTCAGCGGGTGATTTTCTGTTACATTTTATTTATGAAACTAGATTTATCTGTTATGGTTTGACGAAAATCAGTATCTGAATATTTTATTTCAATTAATCAAATTTTTTTTATCATGCTCTTCCAAAAATAAGCATTTGTAGTAGAATCTTATCTAACATGCTTTTAAATAACTATACAAAACTAGCTACTCCGCGTTCTAATAAAGAACCTGCACAAAAAGTGTTGAAGCTACAATTAGAATGAAGAAAAAAAATTGTTTTTTTTATTTAGAATAAAATTAATGTTATTTATTTTGTGTTTTTTATTTCGGAAAAAAGTGTTTTTAATCAGCCTCCAGTCTTTTCGTTTGGTTGCGCGATCGCAAGGCCTGTTATTAAGATAGCCTTGAAAGTGATTATAAAGTGAAAACAGCAGGACATATATTTGTATGGAAACAGTAAATACATTTTAAGTTTTTTTTTAAATAGAAGTAAAAGTTTTAAGTTCTTCCACAAAAATGCCAAGATCTACTAAATATGCTAAAAGAAGAGTATTTCGAGGTAACCAACACGTTAAGAATAAAAGCCTTCATAGTTTTAACCAAAGCTTTGTTGAAAACAAAAAAAGAAATGCAAGTGAAAAAAAGTTGCAACAAAATGTTGAGTTTAACGATGTAGAAAATGAGCTTGGCGAGAATAACTCCAACATGATAATAAACTTTAAAGTTTCAAAAACAATGTTTAATGATTGTATATGTAAAGAGTGTTGTTCGAATGAAGCAAAGCTGTTACTAAAGAACAATTTACGAAATAAAAATGGGTTCTCATACGAGTTACAGTTATCGTACTGATACATGAAAATTTATTTCAAATTAAAATACATCTCTTCAAAGTAATAAACAAATCTTAACCTCTCCTGGAAAACCTGTTGTAGCTGTAAACTTTAATGCCGTTGTAGCTTTTAGAGAACTTGGCAAAGGTTATCAATCTTTGCATACTTTTGAAGCATTTATGAATATGCCACCTCCTATGACCCCTTAAAACTTTAACTATTTGACTAACAAATTATACAAAGCATATGAGACTGTTGCTATTCAAAGCACTACTAAAGCTGCATGTCAAACCAGAATGGCTCTTTGTGCTGATCATAATGAACCTATAAATTGCCAGGTATCTGTTGATGGTACATGGCAAAAGCGTGGGTGACAAAAAAAAAACTTTAAAAAAATCACTAAATGGTATTGTAACCATAATTTCAAAAGAGAATGGAAAGTGCTTAGATGCCATTGTTCTTTCAAAAAAATGCAGAGGTTATTTTTACTGGAAAAATAAAACCCTTAAGCCTGGATATCTTCATTGGAAGATAAATCATGTGTGTGATGCTAATCATAAAAAATCATGTGGAGCGATGGAATCTTGTGGGGCTGTGATATTATTTTCTCGATCGTTATTAAAGAATAATTTAAGGTACACTTCATATATTGGGGATGGTGATACCTCATCATTTTCTTATGTTGTTTCCTGAAAACCTTATAGCGATATAAATATTGAGAAGCTAGAATGTGTGGGTCACCTTCAAAAACAAATGGGAACTCGTCTTCATAACTTGCGCCAAAGTCAATAAGGCAAAAAGTTTATTGATACTAAGCTTGGATATATATGTTGGTAAAAGGTCTTTAGAATTATCTTAAAATTCAGCTATTACTTCGTTCAATGATGGTTTTTAAGAGTTTTAAAAGTGTTTGAAGTTTTAGGTATTAACACTGGGCGGTTTATGAATGATGCTTCTAAATTACACGATGCATTACGCATATCAAAAGGAAATCATAAATCCGCCAATAAATGCAAAATTAAAAGGCAAAAGTTAAGAGGAATTAAGAAAGGCTTCTTGGATAAAAAAGCAGAAGAAGCAGAACTTGTTCCATTATATGAATCTAGAGCTTTTTAAATAAAATTTTATTTTCGTTTTGTGATTTTCTCCATATTAACTTTTTAGAGAATTAAATAAAGTTAAAAAAAGATATCTCCTTATTGGTTTATTCTTTTTCTATAAAATTTTCCCAGTTTGTTTAAAATACATTAAAAGAGGACTGGTAGCAGAATATTTATTTTTGCTTTTTTTTAAGTTTGTACTTTGTCATCCAGCATTGAGGCCTTCACGTTAAAAAAAGGAACCATTATGGCAATGCCTGTAACTTTTGAAATATTTCAGTTAAACAGATAAAACTGCTAGGGTATCTGAGTAAACATATTATTAGCTGAAATACCAAAAGACATTAAAAAAAGGTTATTTACTTTCTGAGAAAACTTTTTTTTAAATAGCAAGCTAAAACAGGTTAAAAGTTGAATAAATGAGGCAATTTATAGGATTTTTTTTTTTTTTAATATAATTTTTTATTACAATACAACATAATTAGACTAATTTAAAAATTATAAATTTATTATTAAAGAAAATCATTTGTTTTGGGGCGGACCACCTTATGCTCATTCAAGTTTATAACAAAAAAAGAAATTTTTAAAATTTGAAAAACGTTTTTGGTTAATGTTACCACTCTACTTTTTGTTGTTGTTGTTGTTGTTGCTGTTGTTGTTGTTTAACAATCTTATTAGCGAACTACGCATTTTATTGCAATATTTATTACGATATTTAATTGAAACATTATTAGGTATATATTTTACGAAGTTTTATTATGTTATATTACGATATTTTATCAAAATTTTATTAAGGAACTCTATAAAAAAATTGCGATGACGTACTATTATCCTCATCTTTTTTGAGCCTTTATCTGTTTTTATTTACTTTTTTTTTATGAAGCACAAAGACAATAATACAAAACATTTTGCTATGGCAAAATGTTTTGTATTATTGTCTTATTGAAAGTAAATTCTGAATCTAAATTTAATAGGGCTTTAATTTCCTCTTTAAAACGTCTATTTTCAGTGAGAATGAAAGCCAATTTGTATTTGCGTTCATTGTTAATTAAATGAAAGTCAGTTTGCCAGCTCCTCCCTATGCCATTAGTTCCCTTACCATGACATTTTAACCCCCGCGTTTTTCTATTCCTCTCATTCAGCTTAAGTTGTATGCCTCGCCTTGTTTTCGCCAAACTTTTTGCTGTCCTTCAAATAAGATTAGATTAAATTTGGATTCATCACTTCAAATTACTTTCTTTTAGAACTTAATATTCGTGTCAACATACGTTTTTGCAAACAATAAATTTTGTTTTATATGAAATAATTTCGAAGAGATTTTTTTTTGCGACATACTCAACTATAAAACCTTTACTCTCGGATTGTGTTTCAGAAAATCATGTTTTTGTGACTATTTTTAATGCTTCTAACTAAACAAAAGCTGCAATCTATAATTTCTGCCACAAACATCAATCTTGTATTACAAAAAATTAAAAAAAAAAAAACTATTATCAGAAAAATGCTTTTTTGATAGTTGATATTGTAAAAATCAGACTAACAGTTGTTGATTCAGGCGGTGTTTTTTATTGAATGGAAAAAATGATTCAGAGTCTAAAGCAACTTCAATGTTATGTGTAATAATAATCAAAAATGATTTTTATTGAATGGAAAAAATGATTCAGAGTCTAAAGCAACTTCAATGTTATGTGTAATAATGACATACTTACATGATGAACATTTTAATGGTTTCTGTTACACCACTTCACAAACTAAAATCGATATATCAGTTCAGCATTGTGAAAAATGTTGCTTTTATATTTGAAAAAAATGGTGCTATTATTTTAGGATCTGTAACTGATAATTATAAAATCAATAACTCTGCATAATTTTTAAAAGAGTTACTAACTTTCAGGCCGTTTATCCATAAGATGATCAGCGTGTTTTGGTTTCTTTTGTTTGATACAGTTCATCTTCTTAAATGTTTACTTAACATCAGGATTTCTGAAAAGTGTCAAAAACTATTTCTTGACAATAAAACCTTTGGCTTCTTCTCTTTGATATTAAAAACCTATACCAATTTAAAAAGAATACCAATTTAAAATCAATTCCTTTATTCCATGCTGCTGTTTTTCCTTTTAGATTTCAACAACAAAATGTGAAACATGTTTTAAGAACATTTAATGAATGTTGCTTTGAAACTAAATCATGAAACATTCTTTTTTATTCAGCAGGTTTTAGATTGATGGATTATTGTTAGTTAATGTTTCTGCAAATAGGCAGAATATTAAAAATAAAGAATATTAAGAAACCGCAACCGTCCTGAGCAAAATTAAAACTCGAACAATCTGCAAAAGTTTTAGAACAATTCAAATCAGTAAAATCAGGGTATGGACCCAAACTAATTTAATGTGTTACCCATGATACCAAAACTCCTTGTGCAAACCACTGAAGAATTGATAGCTGTCTGTAAGCATTTGTTGTCAGTCAGTTCAGATTACGTCTTGCATCGTCAGCTACAAAGTGACAGAATTGAAGAAGAATTTTCTGTATTTACAGACAGTCAACACGGGAAAATGGTTTATGGTGGTTGGGGACGTTTTTTCTACTTTAAAAAATCATTTAACTTGGATTGCTGCAACGTTTACAAAATTAGTGGAAGTAGTACAAACCAATAAAAAAGATCAAACATGTCAAGCCATGGCAGAGTTAAACCTTTTCAAATTTGTTATAAATGCTCAATTAAGTGATTATATATTATAAACCACACTTGATTTAATGATGTACTTTGTAGTCTATCCTTATTTGTTCTGCAACCTTTATTATTGACAACATTTTGTATGCAGTAATAAGGTTACAAATTAAATATTTTAAATAATTTGTAAACTACACAACTTTGTTAACTTTTATTAGTAAATTTTAAAGACTATTTAGAAATTTTGTATTGGTAAACATGTAGTTTTTTTAATTATTTTTAACTTGATTGAATAATTTAATTACATTTTTATATATTCTTAAACTATCTACATTTAACTGGACATATTCAAATATTATTCACTAGTAGTGATAGTTATTTACATAGTGACTATTACCTTAAAACGTTATTACTGTCTTTTTAAAGTTGTGCTTCAGTATAATAAATAAAACGTTTTGTTTATTATACGATCCTTTAAAATATGATCAGTATAATAAATAAAATGCCTTTTATAACAGTTATGAAGATATTTTATTTTTCTTCAATACAACGTTAATATTACGACAGAATAAAGCATATATAGCAGAATAAAATAGTTACAAAATAGCGTTAATACAACGTTGAATGTAAGACCAATAAAATGGCAATATAACGCCAATATAACAATAACTACCGTTTTATTTCCTCAACTTGACGTTATAATTTTTAGTTATTTTAGCTTTAGTTTTTTTAGTGTAGAGCCTAAAATTCTGTTTAGGTCATGGGTCTTAAAATAAACAATATTTTAAATAAATACGGAGAATCAACAATGTTTAAAATCAAATATTATAAAACTTGACAAATGTTTGTTTGACTTTACTAACCGAATTAGTTTGTGAACAATAAGTTCAATATAGTGAGGCGCATAAAACTTTTTTTTAGGTTTTCTTTGAAAAGAATAAAGATGTACAAAAATTAAAAATAAAAATAAAATTTAAATGTTACATTATTATTGTTTGCTTTATTACGTTTATAGTTTTCGAATGCATACTCCATACGGACGAATATCTTTGTCGCTGGGGCTAATCCAGTACTCACCTATTTTGGTGTGATCAGCTGATATTTTTAGCAAGGTTGTAGGATTTACACGATTTTGAAGTACAACTGCGTATTGCTTATTTTTATGCATAAAATTTAATGCATATTTTTCTGCCACTTTAATATTTGGAGTTGAATAAACTCCGCGCCCGAATGCAAATCTTTTTCCTTTTGTTAAGTTGTAGCCATCCTCCGCTATAGATTTAGCTTCATTTACACCTGTTCCATGATAAGATACAGGCCATTCTCCTGGAACATCGGTACTACCTAACCAAGTTAAATTTTCATATCTGTCGGACACTTTAATAGCAAAGCGTTTCCACCCACACGGGCGAACATATTTTTCTCCACCTCGTGTAAATATTTTATTTTCATCTGTTACATTTGTAAAATCATAATTATATCTCGGATCTAGGCTTGAGGGATCCAAAAACTGTAAGCCGCCACCTCTCAAATTTTGAATTAAATGGATTGTATCTTCTTTTTTTATGCTATAATCAGACGTTTTTCTTTCATTTTCTAACTGTTTTCCCGCGAATATTAGTCGTTGCTGGGAGCAGGGTATAGAAGTTTTTGCTTCAATAATCTTTTTGACGTCAAGGACAGTTGAATTTTGATCTATAAGACAAGTTAAAGTTTTACCAGAAATAGTTTTCACAAATATCAAAAACTCTGTTCTTCCTTTTTTTATTTCTTCAATATTTTTTGTTGCTTTAGTAGCTAGCTGAGAATCTGGATGAATCTGAGAATCTGGAGATGTACTGCCTACTTTACCATACGAATACGTTTGATTATGGCAATCGAACAAAGATACTTTAGGCATTGAGTCTTTGTAATCGGTTGGTGAGCTCAAACTAATGCCAATAAGTGACGAAATTGCAGCTGTCAATAGATCTTGATCATTATTTGAATGTATTGCCACAGCCATTGAAAAGATAAAAAACTATTTATCTACAAAAATATATAAATATAAAGTATTAGAACCAAGCAGATATATTTTTCATTTTAATATAAATATTAGTTTTTAAACTAATTTTTTTTAAGCTAAAAAATTTACAACATTGTGAAGACTTTTAAGAAAAAATATTGGTTAAAAGTTTATATTGACTTTTTATTATTAGCATTTGATTACCTAAATATATTGGAGATCATCAAAGACATTTCTTGACAGTTTATGATCTTAATTAAACCACCGTAAACCGGGGTTATTTTGAAAGTTTTTGAAATTTTTTTACTTGCCCTTCCTTCACTATTAATAATGACAAAAGTTTAAGCAAATGCATATACGGGCTAAGGTTAACTTCTACATTCAATTTTTTTTAAATTCAAAAATAATGTTAAAATGAAAGGGTTTTGCAATAAAACATATTCAAAAGCGCATTGTTTGCTTTAAATATTTAATTAAAACAACGGTCTAGTTTTACATGAATTTATTACGGCTAAAATAAAACAATGTTATTTCATAAAAAACGCAAGTTTTTTAAAATAGGTTTGTTTTAAGTCGATTAGCATAAAAAGAGTCTCATTTATATCAGTTTACTGATAAAAATGGAAACGACTGTCATAAGTATCAAAAATGCGCGTAAAACTTTTCTATCAGGGTTAGGGTCAGGGTCATGTTAGGGTTAGGATTATGGTTAGTTTATAGAAATTTTGTTTGATCAAAAGATAAAAAAACATCTTAAATTTTACTTTGTTGTTTCTTAGTTCATAAAAATCTTTTCCCTTCCATATGATTAGTTATTTTAATTAATAGTAACTTGAAAATTAGAAAATTAGAAGTTTGTACAAAAAAGAATAGTTACATGTTTTTTTTTTATTAATTTAAAATAATTTTTTTTTTTTAATAAATTATTCTTTTATGTATATTCAAATATTATAAACGCTCAATAAAACCTTTATTATAAGTCTTTAAACTTCACAATACAAAACAAACAATTTTCAACTAACGTAACTTAAAATTCATCCTTTAGCAAACTAAACAGTGAAACTGAAATAAACACTTTATATAATCTTTATACAATTAGTCCAGTCAATGCTTAACGCCTTGAGTTACAGAGTTAGCTAAGGTTCCGTAAAATGTTAAAAAAAATTTTTTTTTTTTTATAAACTGCTTGCATCATTATATTGTTCTTTTAATGAATATTTAACGTCTCTAAATGATTAACATCAATTTTTTAGCTTTTCTGTTTCATTTAGCTTTTACGCTCTTTATGCTGGCAGATAATAAGTTTTAAAATAGTTTTTAAAAACAGAATTTGCGGGTTTTCACTGTGTAACACATTATCATAAAAATATTTTGTTTGTGCTTTTCATGGTTGCTGTAATAATATTTTGTGAAATAATTTTAATTTAAATAATTTAAGTTGCGTTTTTTTGCTTACGCATGTTAAAAATGGCTTAACCTTTTAAGTTTGTGATTTTAGGCGTGCTTAATACAAGAGAGAGGGGGCGGATTACAAGGATGGAGAAATTTTTTCCTTTCATCTAATTTCAATATTATAATTTAAAAAATAGTTATTAAACAGTATTAAAAAGATCAAAAATAATGAATTATCAAAAGTATAAAATCCAAATATAATTTTTTTACAAAACATGCATACAACAAATTTGTGTTTAACGTGCCTTGCGGTAAAATACGCATTTTCAGCAGCTGCTTTATTGTATAACTAAAATAAAATTTAAATTACGTTTAAAAGTTTCATGCTTTGGCAAAAAATAAACAAAAAGATAATATTTCGAAAAATTGATGTTTAGGGGATTTTTTTATAAATAGATGGTTTTTAAAATCTGAATAAACAAAATGTTTTTTTTATTTTTCTTTAGCTTGTAAAGAAAGATAAAAAAGACATATGTTTTTTCTAATTTGTAG